TTACATTCTATTTTCACCGGCCTTTACTAGCTTGTTTCTATTAATCGATTTCAGGTTGGGCGACTTCTGTGTTCTAGATACAGGTACGTATGTAACTTTTAACAATGTCGTCTGAGATATGTCTGGAATTTTTGTTACTCTGCTTTGGCTTTTCTTTGATATCTCTATTCATGACGCTGCTAACATTGCTGCAGATATATGGCAGTGGTCTGAACTGACTAGCTTCGGCGACTTACCTACAGCTCGTGATTTTGCTGCCGCTTCTGCTATTGGGAACCAAAAAATTGTATTGTAAGTATCAACCTTTGTAGATTCTTTCTGTTGGCTTCCGAATTCACCTTGATTTCATTCCTTAAATATGTTAAAGTGTTTGGTATATTCAGTACAAAGAAAATATTTTTGCTCAAGTTTTTTTTTCACCTTTATTTTACTGAACACTGGAACTGATGAGTGTGATTGCTCAAGAAGCAGACTCCTGATAGATATAAAAGTCAAATTCTTAATTTGCAATTCCGTCTTTTCATTCATCAAACATGTTAAGGATGTTTATTTGTTTGATCTCCCCATCGCTGACAATTATCATCTTCATTTTTAATGAGGTTTCCTGACTGGTTGTATTGATGGTATATGTATTGTAGAAACTCGCTTCCAATTCTAAGGAATAGTTCATGATCACAGTTTGTTTGGCTTGAGTCAATAACAACAAAACTGAATATATGGTTATCTTTCGCAGGAGGTGGTGTCCCAATCATGGGTGATTTCTTGGCTTTGAAGGGTCTGATAGATGAAGGTTCATCCTTAATTTCCTAAAAATGCATTGAATCTAGTAGGTTACCTCTTAGTATGTCGTCTTTTTTCTGTTTTTTGGTCATATGTGTGGTTTACCGTTGTTGTGGAAGAAAGAGCGTGAAACACCTGGATGGAGTCTGGACCCAACTCAAGCTTCCTGGACAAGCACCATCTTCTCGATGTGGTCATACAGTTACATCTGGAGGGCATTATGTATGTCTCTGTTGTTATCTCTGTAATCAATATGATATTCATTTGTTTTTGCTTTCGGATTCATGTGACCTAACATCACTCACATCATTAAATTTGTTTATGCAGCTTCTGTTATTTGGGGGACATGGAACTGGTGGATGGCTGAGTCGTTATTATGTCTATTATAATGATACTATAATTTTGGACAGAGGTAGGTTTTTGCTCACTCTTCTCATTAGATTGTTCTAGTATCACGAAAATTTGTCAGAGCAAAGAAAATATACAGTAGTACAATCTAATGAAATGATTAACTGTGATTTATCATTTTTCTCGCTGTGCAGTTTTTTCAATGCATTGTTAATGTTTTTGCTAAATTTTTGTCTTCACTTTCCAGTAACTGCTCAGTGGAAGCGTTTACCAATAAGCAATGATCCTCCTCCTCCTTGAGCTTACCATACCATGACTGGTATTGATGGAAAATTGACCTTCGGTGATCTCTGGTGGTTGGTTCCCGAAGGTATTTTATTCTTATTTGTACTGACGCCAACTAACTTATCATTGTGTGTAAACACATCATCATTATTATCCTTGGATATATTTTATATGTTAATATTCTTTAGTGTCGCCTGACAAACTAATCATCCTGTTGGTCATAGATTGTAGGCAATTAGCTACTCTTCAATTTCTAGCATGCTCTTTTTCTTTATCTAGCTTGTATTGGAAGTTATGAAATTTACGCATCTGGTTGAATTTTTGTGAACTGTTTAGCCTTCTGAAATTTTCTTATTTGTGTTTAAAGAAAGAACTATATGTGGAACTCTAGATAGAGACCTAACTCAAAACCTCTCCACTTTCACCACAACCTCACCCCTTTTTTCGTTTTTCTCAGATGATCCGATAGCCAAGAGGTCTTCTGTACCTCAACTTATAAACCCTCCTGAAATTAATGAGTCAGAGAGAGAATTGGACAAAGTAATTTGAGTTCCTACATATCATCTTATGTGTTTCTAGCCAATGCAGTCAAATTAGCTTTTCAACTTGTTTAAAGAATTGAGAGTCTGGTCACAGCAGGAAAGGGGACAAGAGGGATACAGTATTGTTGAGTTGCAAAAGAAAATGGGAATATCTGTTTCATCAGGGTTGCGCCTTCAAAGTCCCAATGAGTCAGAAGATCAAGAATTCGTTGAATTAGGAACAAGATTAATTGAGGGAGATGTAGCTGATTCAGGTGATCTTTCCCTTCTCTATTTCAGTTTGTGTGATTGTGCTATCCTGTACTAAAATGCTTCCCAATGAAAAGATGGCACTTCGTCGAGATTGGAAAGAGTCCACTCCAAGAACTTTACAACTAAAGGAGCTTGGTTCCTTACTTGGGGATTATCAGCGACTTGTTACCCGAAAATTCGCGTGAGTTCTTTCTTACCCATGCCAATTTTGTTTTGGACTCAGTTCTTGTTTACTTAGATTATCTTTGTATGTCTAGTCTGATGGTTGTTCTTCGGAATCACCACATGACAGTGAGATAATTTAGATAAATCCTGTGGGATTTTAGGAGTGACATAAAAAATTGACATGGATGTGGTCTTTGTTTTGAATATGCCCTTGAGACTTGTTAATTGGACGAAACTAATCGAAACTGATTCATTTCTTAAGGTTGTAAAAGTTTTGTTTTCTCTAGCCCTTCTAAAAACTATTACATGCTATGAAATTTTACATTTGCTTCTTCCTTTCCTTCACACATGTTTGTTTCCATCGTTGTGGTGAGTGTCTCAGTACACAGAGCAGCTTAACATCTGCTGATTTTGGCCTCCCCGGAACAAAGACCTTTATGTTTTATCATATCAAAAGCTCTTCCCAGGAAATTCCGCATGATTTCCTCCTGTAATTAGCTCTCGTGAACATTTGAAACCAATTAATCAACGTGTTGCATCATCGTAATGACCATGGTACGAATCTCACCTTGAATTATGTAGCTGCCTAAATAATCTGTTTTTAAATTATTTTGAGCACATGTACTTTTTTCCAAATTTTTTTAGTTCTCTATCTCGGAATACCCATTACGCAAGAAGCCTGAAAGAAATAGATGTTACTAGTGTGATGCATAACTTTCATTATTTACACATGCACTCTGAGATGTCTAAGTCCATTGCTCAGTTGCTGGAAGAATAAAAAACTCTTATAATCTGATTTAGGAATCGCCACAAAACTCACAAGGAACAAAACCATCTTTAGGTATGAATTTCTGAAAGCCCTTGGGGGGTTTTTTTTTTCTTCCTTTTCATGATTCTAATCACATAGATTAGGTTCAAATTCATAGGCTTCTATGTCATGCAAGTAGAGTGAATGAAATTAAAAGAATGACTCTTTGTTTCCTATGTGTGCTCTAAAGATCATTCACTTATAATAACTTTGAATTTACTTATAATAACTTTGATCTTCTGTTTTTGTTTTCTTTTTGTGTTCTAAAGATCATTCATTTACCAATGATAACTTATGCTACAACAAGGAATCATATCCTCCACTACAACAAAGAACCAAATTCTTGACGTTTCTTTCTTTACTTTCAAAACCCTCCGCTACTTTCGAATCCAATTCATTCTTGTTGTTTTGGTTTTGATCCCTTTCTCTATTTCTCAAAATTTGTTGTTTTTTTCTTCTATATAAACCTCATGGAGACACACAAACACAACACACAACACACAACACACAAGTCTCTCTAACTCAAACACACACAAGTCTCACTAACTCAAACACAAGATGTGGTCAAGCAAACGAGGTGGTAAGAACGTCTCCAATGGTAAGTGCTTCTAAAGAGTCTCTTAAACATAAAAAGAAATGATTATTTTGTTATGTAATTAAATTTTAATTTTAAAAAGAAAATAAACCAATATGGGAGAGACATGTTGCTTAGAAGAGTTTAATAAGTATTAAGAGCCCCTCTTCATGCTATTATTTAAGAGTCCTTCTTAATTCTCTTTCTTTTTTTTCAATATTTTGATTGAATTTTTAATTAAAATTCTGCTAATTAAGGATCTTCCATTGGAGGTGGTATAAGATATATCGTTTTAGAATCAAGTCGGTTTCCATTTTTATTGATTTGACATCGTAAAATAATAAACTTATACCCATGCAAGTCCACAATTCAGTTCTATCTGATAGTATTTCGTTTATTTATTTTTATTTTTTCATACGAAAGCATCTAGT